CACTTATCCCCGGAGCTCCACCCGTCTCCACCCGGTCGGACCTCCGAAAGTGGGGCCCCGGCGTGGCGCCGCACCTCCACCGGCGGACACCCGCCGCGCCCACACAAAAGGGAGCCTCATCAATCCTGGCCATGTCATCCAGCTCTGTCACCCTCCCCTGGCTGACAAGGCCTTCGCGCCACGCGTTCCTTCCCGCGTACTGCGCTCTACAGCACATGCAGTACACAAAAAGGAGACTAGAGAATATTCCACAACGCCCGCGCGGGAGCTACTACGCAGGACCTGCCACACACCTCCCCCGGCGTTAGAAGCTCCCAAATTCCGGCCCCACCGCACACTTGACACGCCGGCCGCGTGGAGTTCCCGCCCGCCCCTCTTTCGCCCTCTCCCTCTCCGTCCGGGAAAGGGGATGGGTCCATGTGCCTGGCTACCGGGCCACGTGTCCAGGGGCAGCAGGCAGCCCAGCAGCTCGGGGACTGCTCCCCGGCCAAGACGCGGAGCTGCTCAGGCATAATGACGAATGCGGCTCCGGGTCCGCAAGGTTCTCGGCCCCCCTTCTTTTCCTGCAAAACGTGTCACGCCTGTTGAAGGCATGGCGTGCTGGCCTTGACCCTGCGTGGCAAGTGACAGGCGTTTTCAGCACGAGACAACTTCGCAGATGCCTGCAAGTGTACGCCCTGGAATATGATAACGTCAGGCTCGCATATACGCCTCCGGCATGTGTGTTCAAGTGCAAATTATCATTCAATCCTATTGGTATCGCTCATGTACTTGTACGCATGCCCTCTTCAGTCCGCCCTCCTCCCGCTGTCCATCCACACATTATCCTCCCCAATTCCCAGGGAGCTGTCCGCATTCGGCAGAATCAGCACCGGCCCCTCCTGGCTCGAAGCCCCATCCGTCTCCGTTCCTTCCGTTCGTATCGGCGGCGGCGGGTCCCGGTAGATCCACGGTTGCTGGAGCCTAGTCCGCTGTGTCAGCCACTCACGCGATTCCAAAGGGGGTATACAAGACGACTTACGGCACGACAAGGCTTGGGTTCACAAACATCAAGCCCTTCTCCTTGAATTCGTCGAGCGTGCTGCCCCTGCGGAGGATCGCCTGCGTCTCCTGCCGCGACTCGCCCTCAGCTTCGTCAAAATCATCGTCCACCGCCTCTTCGTTGTCCACGCCGCCATTGCTGGACTTGATGGCCCGCAGCGCAATATATTTGGTCAGCGGCTCGAAGCGCTGCTTGAAGTAATAGCTGTACCATATGGTGAAGGGTATCAGCGGGAACACGGCCACCGATGCCACAAACGCTGCCAGCGATGCGATTTGACCAACCATGACCACCTCAAACACGACCAGGCCGATGACGATGCGGTAGCAGATTATGCGCCACGCACCACCGGTCGCGTGCTGCGGCTGATCCATGGCGTAAAGCAACATGTACTTGAAGGTAAAGTAACCGAGGGCAAAATAAATCATCCCGAATATGAGTATCGCGAAGCCCCACCGCAGCACGCTGTATATGAGGCAGAGATTGAACACGAGCAACGCCACGGGCAGGTAGAAGCCGTACTGAAAGGTAGGGGGCTTCTGTAGCTCGGCAAAGTCGCGCGGTGTCGACGACGTCATGCGGTAGAACGGGGACAGGAAAACGCTGCCAATCTCGAGGATGCGAAACGGCATCAGGCCGATGCCTTGAAGCATGATGAAGCAGATGTAGAAGATGGACAAGTCCTCCACATCAGCTGCGATGGCCGCCGGGATCTTGCTCGTGTCCTTGAGAAAGTCCCGCAGCACGTTCAAGAAGTCGAATCCGGATTTCGAAATAGCAAAGACGAAGAAGGTGTTGAAGAAGGTGAAGAAAAAGTTCTTGGAAATGACAGACAGCTCCACGTCGCCCTGGGAAATCATGCCCTGGTGGTTGGACAGCCAGTCGTACAAGTACGGCACGGCGACGTTGAGCAACGACACCACCAGGGTTGGGCCGCCATTCTGGAAGAGGGAGTAGAAGATCGGGTGCTCCACCAGCCATGCCACAAGTCCGGGGAAGTATTTGTTGACGGTGCATATGCTGAGCCATGACGCGAGGAATGCCGTGGGGAAGATCCAAAGCAGCGTCAGAAATGTGATGAAGAGGGTGACCGCCCACGATTTCAGTCTGCGGACGCCTCGAAGAGCATAAGTGTTCTTCCAGACTAGGTCGGACGGAGACGGCGTGGGTTTGGTCAGCAGCCGGCCAGGCCGAGGATCTATCCTGGCCTGGATAACCATCTGGCAAGACGCGACCGAGTCCATGGTCACGAGCGCCATGTCGGTAGCCTCGTACTCTTTCTTTCGAGCCACCGCCACCTTCTCGTCGAGTCTTCGGAGCTTCTCCTCGTAGTAGTCGATGGCGTCGACCCTGCGCCTTCGCAAGTTCAGCGGCCCGTATCGAATGATGACCTGCGGCCGGTCGCCTTCGGTGATGTGTGGCTGGTTCGGGTCGCTCTCGAGAAGGCGCTCGTTCTCGCCAGACTCTTCGTCGCCGCCGTACCCGCGTGTGTTGGCGGCGTCGCCGTCGTCGTTGGAAGTTTGGGTCGCATCGCTGTGGCTCTTGGAGAGGGCCTGTTGGTGCCTCAAATGTCTTGCCCAGACAGTCTCCAGATTCCGCAACACTCGGTCTCGTTCTTGCATCAGTTCATCCAGTTCGCTCCAGTTGCGACAGAGGGTGACAGTGTCGACAAGGCCGATCTCGAGCTTCTCAATGAGCTTCTTAAGCTTCTCTTCCGAGCGGAGCTTCAGGGGTATGCCAGTGAGTCGAAAGGTACGGTCGGTGACTGTCGATTGCGATCCGAGGTAGTCTTGTCTAAGTTTGATGATGCGAAATGTCTCGAGGTTGATGCAGTAAATGGTGAGGCCGACGAAGAAATATGTAAAGACAACGTATGCCCAAAGATAAGACCTCTCGCCGCTCTTGTCCTTGTGCCCAACACTGAGGAGATCAGCATCTATGCCGCGCGGGGATGAACGGCCGAGGAGGACGTCATGGCTGTCGCTGCCGTTGCCGGGTCTCATAAAGCTAGGCCCAAACCCTCTGTACCATTTGTTGACGGGAAGGAGCACCACAACGGCAAAGAAGGCCATGGTCATGAATAGCCGGACGGCCATTTTGAAGAATGTCAGGAACTGTCGGAAAGCGTCAGCACTTGACAAGCGATCCAGCACATTGAACAGATGTGTTGGCGTACCACAAACGCATCGAGACCAGCCGACGCCAGGATCTGCTCCTCCGTCACCTTGTAGAGCTTCGGTATCCATCCAAAGAAGGTGTTTGGCAGCTCGGGCAAGCCAATCTTGGGGTCGAGGCGTCGCTTTCGAGCAGCGTATAGTGACGGCCATCGCGTGCGGAGTACCTGCATTCCCGATATTGTCAGCTCATGCCGCAACAGCGTCGCAGCGCATCGCCGGGATCTGGACGCACGCAAAAGGTGACAAAGGCCGAGACGCCGAGCACCAGCGACAGCACCAGTTGGACCTCGAGGTCCTTTTCGTTCTTCCTAGCCGGCGTGATGTAGTCCTCCCGGTTGCACTGGTCGGGGACGGCGGTCGCGGTCGGCTCCATGGCGCCGCATGCCTCGTCTGCCGAGCGGCAGCGACGGGCAGGGGATGGGGGACGGCGCGAAGCTGGCGAGTCGTATGTGGTCGCGAGGCCCAAGCGCCGGATGGACGTCGGGTGTCGGGTGTTGCACCGGTGCGTGCTATCCCCGCCTAAAGCTGCTGCGTGTCGTCCAAGAAAGGGTTGCAGAGATGATGCCGTGCGAGGTGAGGTGGAGGTTCGTCCAGTCTCGCCTCTGGGAGAGAGCTCGGGCGCGGTTGCCTGACTATCGGCAGTGTGCGCCCGTCCGGTGACGTCGTTTTTGCATAAGTTTGTGCACCGTCAATGCACGCGGCTCGTGCAGCCCGCCTGACCAACCACGGCTTGCACAAATCGGCCAGTCCTACCCTACATCTCCGCCTCACCAACACTCCCAAGGAAGAAACACAGCTATTTCCTTTTCGTGCACACGTTCACACCGCCAGCTTGCCTGCCTCTCATGCGTGTGACAGTAAAGACCAACTAAGTAGCTGGCCCTGGCAGGTTTGCGGAAGGCCGTTGTCGACCCGGGCTGGCTATCCTGGCTGAGACATGGCAACACCGAACAACCAAAAATGGGGGAGGACATGCAAAAGCCGCTTGCTGGGTTCGTCATGTGAGCCACTGCTCCGGCAATCCCGTGAGTACTCGTACAATCTCCATCTCGGGCAAGCCGAGGACGTTTCCTGTGGTTTTGCTAGCGCCTTGGGAGTCGTGCGAGTCCAAGCTCCTTCCTCATCTCACCCAGATTTTGTACCATCGACCGACTTCATCAACAAGTGCTGTGGTCCAGATACGTCGCGTCAATGAGGCTTGCCCGTTGAACGCGCAAGTCACTACCTTCTCCCGAGGGAAAGTGGACATCGAGTGTACCATGGAGAGAGAGGCCACGAACCCGTCATCAGTTTCTCTGGCAAAACAATGGGCATGCTGTCTTATCGAGCCAAGCAAATACGCCGAACAGTCCTATCGGTGCCACGCGACAGCGACCAGCAGCAGTGGCAGCCACAGCCTACATCGCGCTGCACAGCATGGTCTTCCGGTATTCCGCACGCTCAAGATTAACCGCACTATCCGAGCCGTGCCGTCTACTGCACCCATCCGAGCAGCCTTCACCACGTGCATATCTTGCGTTCCATCAAGTCGTGCAGGCCGCCGTCTTGTAGCTTCCAGCCAGCCGGTATGGACAGTTGGTGCTCCCATTTCGTGGGGCTTGGGCCTTTTGACTGGCTTCTGGACGAGGCAACCATGTTGCTATGCAAGGCCATCACCAACCCTGGCTTCTCGTCACAACGGTTGTTTCCAGCATGGACTGGATCTACCGATAGACATGCAAGATGCGCTCGCTGCATGCCATAGAGGCCTCGCAGGCGACCTCCGAGGTAATCGTGTTCGCGCGTCGTTGGCCATTTCCCTCTTGCCCCTGTCATACACACCATCGTGAACCGTCTGAACTGACGTGTCGAACGGCTCACCCATAGTGGGCTGGACCAAGTGATTTAAGGATGGTGTTGTCAAATTGAAGATGACTGGATAGATGCTCAATCTCGGGCTCGGGTGCGATTGCCTTTCAGAACATACTTCGACACCAAGGCCATCCTTCCGAGGATTCGGCCGTACGTGCGCTTGATCCCGCGCTGCGGACGGAGCAACATTGCACGGCGGCTGCCTTTGTTGCCATCAGATGGAGACACGAGCCGGAGACTAGCGAGACATCGTTGGGACGTTCCATGCCCACACCAATGCCGCCGGCCACTAAGCCCGCAAACAACTGCTCCATGAACCCCTGGATTGCGAGTTGTAAGCTCGTATCACTGTTGTTGGAGCACAAACTTTCGGTCGAGGGACTGATAGTTCTGCCACATACGGCATTTGCTGCCGATTTATTGCAGTCTCTGGCGAGTTCCCCCGACCCCCAAAGGAACAAGCCAGGCCGCGGGCTGGCAGAGGTACGCATCTGTCTCTTGACCTCATCTAGGGATGCAATGTTGATGGTCCACGTCTTCAATGTCGTCCGTGACACCACGATCGGTAAGCCCGTGGCGTTCCTGCTACAATTCGCCCATCAAAGTATCGTGGCCCGACGCCGTATCGCAGGGACTGTCAAGTAGACCGTGTGGGCTCGAGCGAAGCCGGCGATCACCGGTATCTCAAGACAGTTCTAAATGGAGCAACTGTCGCGAGTCGATCCAGAACGTCGAGAACATGGATATTGGGGAAAGAGATCACCCTCGACCCTCTCGCCAACCCGTTGTGCCGGCCGAGCGCTCAAGTGCCACGAGGTCAGCCGCTAGTGGTTACCCGATCCGCTCAAATTAGACGTCAGAAGTGTTGGGTACCATTGATGTGCACGCTTCCCTGACGATTAAGCTTTGTCGGGATGACGGTGTGCTGTTGACCGTGGTCAACGGAGGCACCGTGGCTGCATGGCCAGGCGGTGTACTCTGACACGGATACACAGCAGGTAGAAATCCGCAGCTGCCTTGCCGGTGCCCTGAGAGATGGAGCATGTCGGGCGTCAAGGGCAAGACGCAATGGTTACGTTGACGAAACTTCCCGGCGTATGGCTCCGACGTCTACCTGTCGGTGTACGGAGCGGTCGCTTCAGCTTGGCGGCATCTCCAAGGACACAGCCAAGTGGCCAACTCGCACGTCGTGGGGGTTTCCAACCGAGTATGCAATGGCCCGTTTCCTCCTGAGAAGAACGAAGGCGGCATGACGCGCGAGCGCATCAGTATTGCAGGCTCGCGTTCTGGATGCCGTCAGTGCTTATCCATCACGTCACACAGTGGTCCGAAACAGCCGTAACGAGACCAGATGATACACAAGCTGGGCACGATAACAACGGGAGACAGAGGTCTTGTCATCTTACCGCTCATGCACAATGTTGACCGACCCGCGATGATGTATTTACCCGAGTCCGGCGCATTGTGTCATGTGATGACATTGGACGGCATGGCCCCCGTACCCGTTGCCAGTTTGGGCGAAAGCATACCGCTCAGTCAAGCTTCGGGTTCACGAATATATGGCTGCTGCAAGTTGCGGCGAGGGGACTCAACATTTACCAACAACGGCACAAGGATCAGGCCACCAGGGTCGGCGGCAATTGGCGGCTGAAAGCATGGATATGCGGTGGCCGGGCTCGGGTCCTACTTTGCCGCACTAAGGAGCTCGGAGAGGTTGCAAGATGTGAAAAGTGACAATGGCATGTCCCGAGTTCCACGACTTCTGGTGAAGTGAGCGGAACGTCCGCGACAGGCGAGATGGAATGGCGAGACAGAGCCAGGGGTGCTCGAAAAGCGCGTATCATGGCCGCATAATGCCCCTCGCTGCACCTTTCCGCGCCCAGGGCGGCGAGGGTGGGAGACCGGGCAGGTCACGATGGCCCCGTCAACTGGGCCGTGCTGCAGTGACCTATGCGCTCGTGCGCCCTTGAAGGAAACCCAAGTGAGTGCATCCTTGAAGTGGGCTCAGTATTGCAGAGATGACAGCATTGCATTGCGACAGCGTCTCTCCCGTAGTCCAGCCGAAAACAACTCGGCCAGGCCCAGAGTAGAGGTCACAAGTCGCGGTAGGACTGTCCCAAGCTTGAGCTGGCCAAAATCCTCGAGCTGGGGTCCAAGTCAGAAAAACAATCAGGCAGACTTGCCTCATTGATGTGGAGAAACTCACAGTTCGGGGCGCTCAAAATTATGTCATACTTCCTAGCCTCACGGCCTCTCGGGTGTAGTCCAGTCCAGGAGCATACCCCGGCAGAAAGCGCGGCCGAATCATCGCGGGTTGCGTGACAGTGGCTCAGTATGGACCAACGAGAGCAGGTTTCACGGGCACATCGCGGCCCTCTGAAGATTGTGACTTCGCTGGCCACCTCGTCTCAGCCTGCCGTCACGGCATGCAAGTATCCGGAGACTGACATACGCGAGGCGTCTGCAGGACTGTGTAAGTGCCACGGCCAAGCCTTGAAGTGGCGCATGCTGTAAGAATGGATGTCAGGTACCATGAGAGGTGTGTTTCTCACGATAATGAAAGCCGGGGCAAAGAAGAGCTCAAGTATAAAGCCCAGACTAATTCGCTTGGGACGGTCAGCGAGATCGGGAAATTAGAAACCAGCCGCTCATCTCGCAAGACTTACGCATCACCCTCATCGGATCAAAATGTCTAACCAGCCCAAGAAAACGTCTGGCACAGGTGCTCGAGGAGCTTCTCAAGGTGAGATGCTTGAAGAAGCGATGCCCCGAGGCCCGTCTAACAGCCCTAGTAGGGACAAAGGAGTCGGGCAATAGCGGATCCAGCTATGTTATGGACCGCTGGACCAAAGAGCAAGGACCATGGCATCCGCCGAATCTCGCATCGGCGGGGACGAAAAGTCACGGCACCAAAAAGGAGCAGAGCAAACACTCGACAGTTGCACACCAGGGCTCTGCTAAGTAGCTGCGTTGAGAGCAGAGATGTCGCGTGGAGGACGGTGGGCCCCGAAATTCTGATGAGCGAATGGTAGAAGGGGTCTATTTTCCTTTGTCGTTCAATTGGCCTTGCCATGGCACAAGGGGTCGGCATTGTTGATGGTCAGGGGCATTTTGGTCCCGCGGGGCGGCCTTGTGGGTGGTGGCCGATGGCCTCCAAGCCGGGGAATCGTCATGAGTGTTGCCAATCAATGGAAGCGTCGTGCTACGCATCAATCGTACCGCGTACGAGCGGCTCCCTGGCCTGGGGAGCTTGGTGATGCCGTGATACTCGGGCGGGGCCTGTCCGTGCGGCCGGGAGGCGTACCGACGGTGGCGGGCTGAGGCTCCCTCCTCCGGCCGGGAGTGGCAGCGCCGGCGGACCCACGGGAGCCCCATCCGATCGGATCAAAGACAGGCAGACGGTCCGCAAGGGGTTCTGCGGATCCCCTTCGACAGCAGCATCCCTTGAGTTTGTGTCAGGTGCTTGTCTGAAACACGCGAAGAAAAGTATTCCATACCGCGCGGTCGCGTCCGAGCACAGAGAATAATACGAGCAGATAGGATGACCAGGCTCTGAGCAAGCCGTGCAGGAAAGCCCGGCTTCGTCGACGGAGGAGAGTTTGAATAGCGACGCTGCCACCGAACTCACAGGCGAGCGTTGGCCATGGTTGGAGTCGTCATGGAGCCCCCCCTGGGTGGCAGATCGCCGTCTGGTTCGCTGGCAAGGCCCTCGTTGCACGCATCCTCGTAGTCATCGGCCTTGGCTGGCAGCCACATGGCGCGCATGATGAGGCGTCCCCACCACACCAACCCATCTAGCCACAGGACCAGGACAGGGCCTGCTCGTTGCGTCTCAATGCAGGCGAGCGATGCCCGTCGTTGGCAGGCGATCGCCTCTGGGGGAGACGTTGCGGAGGTCGAAGAGCCTTCTCGTTCAGCAAAGTCCGTGTTGGACAGCTGCAGGCATCGATCGAGAGGGCCGCGTCGGGGTTGAGGCTGACGGTGAGAAAAAGGAGCAGGGCTTGCTTGGGGGGCGGCGGCCGAGTCTGCAGGTACACGAGCTCGGAAATTACATGCATCGTCGGATAAACCCTCAGCTGGCGCCGTGCCGTCAGCAGAGCGGGCAGCGTATGGCCTCTGCGCGCCCCGACATGCGGCCACTGAAAGCACGCTGCAAGCCACTGGTACCGATGGCAAGGTACCTGTGGTAGGTGCTGAGGACGCCCTTCGAGTCCTGGTGCTCGCGTTGCGAGTCAATGCCCGCTGCAAGCTGCTGACTCTTCCATTGCATCCGTGGCATCGTCGTGGCTTTGGCCCGAGAGTTTCACTCCAGCTTGCGTATTGCTTTTTTGCTCGTTATTGTGCCGTGGGCCAGGGGGCCTGTGTGCCTTTGCCCCGAGTGCGTCGTACCGGGCACGATGCCTCCCAGTCAGCGGAGGCAAGGAGGCGCAGGCAGTCCAGACGCGGCACGCAGACCAACGCGACGCTGGCCGCAATGCCTAATCTCGACCCCAGGTGCACTTGCGAGATGCATCGTCTTGGCCGTCGAGCCCGGATTCCCACCACTGGCTTGTCCTTTGTTTTCAGCAGTGAGCATGGGGCAGTAGGGCTCACATGGCGCCATGAATGGCTTCTCGGCACGCCTTGGCCGTGGAGCGAGGAGCAGGCACTTGTCCTTGCACGGGCTTGACCCCCCCAAAGCCTCCACCCCCCGGCAAGGCCAGAGCCGGTGCCACAGCCACCAACCCATGCTTTTGGTGCCGTGTTTGCGTGCGAGTTGCGCTGGCTCGACTGGGCAATAATGTGATGGGTGGATGGAATCGGCCGACGAGGCAGGGAACCTGGTTTTGGTACAGTAGCGCGAGCCAAGGTACCTGCGGAGGCCCAAACTCGAGGTACCTGTTAGCGACCCCATTGCCCGCGCCGGGCCTCGCTAGTGGGCAGGAGCGGGCAGGCTTGGGCGGCCAAGGCAGGCGGTGCCCCCGCGCCAGAAGCCCGCACACGGGCGGCCAGCTTTGGACCAGTCGCCCGCCTACGCCTGCCAGGCTTGCCAGTCGAGGAAAAGTCGAGGCCACATGCTGCCGGTGCACCTTCCGTCCCGTCATCCCCCGCCCCGCCGACCTGCAGCGGGAACTTGGCGCCTTGCGCACAGTACAAGTCCAGATGTACCTCTGACGAGCCTTCTCGTACCCCCGACTCCTCCCCGATTCTGCAGTGCCTCCATCCTCTTCCTCCCCCCCCAGCCGTCGCTGACCCAGTTTCCCGCCCATCCGCTCGCCTCCACCACCAGCGCCGCCTCCTCGCTCATGCCTCTCGCTTCTCTCCACGCATCCCATTCATTCCATCTCAACCTGACACAATCCACACGTCGCACCCACGCTCGTTCCTCTTCCGCAACATACACGTCGCGTCTCGGCACCCCATCATTTTTGAGAGCGACACCCAGATCACCGTGCACGCGACAGCCAAACGCACCTGCCAGCTCCTTTTTTGTGTGCCGACCGACCATCGTTGCTCCCGAGTCCACCACCGTTTGCGTCGACAGAACAACGCTAGACGAGCCAGCAGTCGAGACGGATCCCGCGGCACCACCAACAGGCGATCGCCGACCAGGAACTCGCTGCGATTTCTGTGCCGCTTTGCGTCACTTGCCTCCGACACCTCGACAACACTCCCGTTGAATCGTCAGTGCATGGGAAACCATTGTGATTAGAGGTACCACGACTCCGTCGGCTCACCCGCCCAGCCTCCGCCTGCAGCGCGTCGATAAGCGTGCTTGGCCGCCTGCTCGCCACCGTCAATCAACAAATCCCCTCATCGCGACGTCGGCCTCGAATCCGTCGTCACCACTCTTCCTCTCACCACCCGAGTCTGCCGCCGGCTGACGCCTTACAATGGGTATGTAGTCCCAGCCCTCCAATGCAATCATGACCAGATCGAGCCAGTCTGCTGACCCAGGTTCTTCGCGTACCTATAGCTCAACAGCAACCCATAACCACCATCCCCCCCTTCAACGACGGGAGCAAGCTACCCGACTGTGCCAAAGCCTGCGGACCTCTCTACGACGCCAACGGTGCTTGTGTGCCCCCGGCCATTAAGACCGCTGACAGCGCTGTCTACACATCCTGCTTTTGTGCCCAACCCAAGGTAGCACCTTTCTCCAAGGGAACCTCTGGCGTCTGTGACAATGCTTGCGATGGCGTCAACGGTGGCCTGCAGTCAATTGCTGGCTGGTTCCAAGGCATTTGCAACGTGAAGAATGCCGGAGGCAACGGTGCCAAGACTACCACGGGCGCCACCACGACGACTTCCGGCCAATCTGCCAGCACGGGCAGCTCCTCCAAGAACAGCGGCGGCGGCGGCGGCGGCGACTGGTATGTCCTGGAGACGACTCTGTGGGAACTGTTGCTAACATGGCGGGCAGGCTCTCCAACCACTGGCAGTGGGTTATCATGCTCGTCGTTCTTGTTGTTGGCATTGCCGGCATCTGGATCGGCGCCTGCATCTGGCGCCGCCGTTACCTGCGAAAGAAGGACCGACAGACGTCGCTCGGCCAGAAGCACTCTGGCTCTGCCTCGCGCCCCTCGTGGGGTCCGGCCGTCACTGGATCCGACGCTGCGACGCCCATGAACTTCGCCCCCGACACCGAGAGGGCTGCCTATGCCGCCGAGAAGCCGCGCAAGACCAAGGAGAAGAAGAAGTGGACTGTCTCCCAGCGGACCTGACAATCTTAGTCGCCTTTTTGCACCTTTCTTGTCATCTCGAGCAGCGACGACGATTTTTACGACACATCTGTTACCCCGCGCGTTTGTAATTCCCTGTTTCTGGCTTATTCCCCGAGGCATCGCTACATGAAACCTAGCCTCTTCCTTGGATATATGGGCCTGCACCCTGTGCTTAGACAGGCCGACGACCTGCAAAGGTCCTTGGCAGAAAGATGTCTTCGAATCTGCACCCCATCAACTCGCGCTATTCGCGCGGGCCATTGTGGTCGATTGCACATGACTTCGGCGTTGTACCCCGCGTTTCCATTTTTCCTGTGTCGAATGGAATTTGCTTTGCTTTTAAGGTTGGCGTTGGCAGGGACGGGTGATTACTCTCCGAAGGGCTCTCATTAGAAAGGAACGGGCATGGGTGGAATTATCGCGCAGCGGCGATGGCGCGCAAGGATGGCCGGGTCTCTCCTTTGTTGCATGATGCTCGGCACTGTTCCCGCCCGCGAATCTGGCGCAGGGTTAGGGATCGGGGTGCTTGAGATGTGCAGGCCGGAATGCCGATGGCTAGGGGGCCCCTTGGTTCTGTCGTGGGGCTGTCGGCTGGGTTTTCGTTGACTGTTACTTCTATTACGGTCTATCAATGCAGCCAAAAAGAAACGCATTTCCTCTGAATTACAAAACCACAAGCTTTTGTCTCGCCACCGGTCTTTTTATGTGTTGGAGCCGTGCACAAGAGTATGTGGACGGGAAGAGTCGTGGGGAAATAAAGGTGAAGGTGAAAAGTCGTGCCGAGTCCTCGTGTATCCATTTTCAGCTTGCCGCGCAGTCGCCCGTTCTCCTCCTCACCTGCTGGTCTCGTGCCGGTGCTGCTCTTCTATCGCGTCCATGTACAGGTCGATGAGGCAGCCTGCCGACCACGCCTGCGTCGGGCTCTGCGCAAAAGTCGTCAGCTCTGGCTCACTTCCAAGGGGTGCGAGTGCCCGTCCGAGGGAGACTGGGGGAGCGCGCGTTGATGGGCGATAGGGAAAAGCAAGATGGGACCAAACAAGGCAAAGAAAACAAGAGACGGCAAGAGGAAGGAAGAAGGGACGCAAAGGAAAGGGACCAGAACACTCACCGAGTCGGGGCAGTACTCCCCATTCTTCTGCGTCAGCTCCGCCAGGCCCGCCCACTCGCTCTCCTCCATCATGCGCTTGCAGCCTTCGAGCCTGCGCGTCACCTGCTGGAAGGCCTCGACGCGGCCCTCGTGCGAGGCGCGGCGGCGCAGGTCGAACTTGAGGAGGGCGCGGAGGAAGAAGCCCGTGGGCCAGAGCCACTCGGGCCCCTGGTGGTAGTTGCGGCCCTTGCTGGTGGCGAAGTCGTCGCTGTCCTCGCTGTTGCGGTAGTAGGGCCGGTAGTTGAGGTCGGCCGGGTCGAGCGTCGCCATGCCCGTCGGCCCGCGGAGCACCTTGTCGGCGAGGCAAAGCGCGTGCATGGCGTGGTCCGCGTCGAACAGCGAGGGCGCCACCGTCATGGCGATGGGGAAGTTGGCGCGCAGCTGGTAGTCCTCGTACTCCTTGCCAGACCTGTACAGGTCCTTGTAGATGCCGCGGCGGTTGACAATCTTGGAGTTGACGTCGTACTTGGAGTCGTCCTTGGGCGACAGCGGTACGTAGTAGCACCTCTCAAAGTTGTCCTTGATGAGCTTGGCCCAGTCCGCGAACGAAATGTCGCTGCCATCGGGCTTCTTGACGCCAGACTTGGCGAAATTGCCTCGCTTGCTGAGGTCAGACAGCCAGGCAAGCGTGCTGTACAGCAAACCGGTGATCTCGATGGCTGCGCCGTCACGAGGAGTTCCAGGGACGCCCTTGGAGCCCGCGCGCTCGCTTTCGCCCATCTTGTCCATCCACGTACCGCAGTTGTCCTGGTTGCCACCAAAAACAATACCGGTGTTCCAGTCCACCTTGATGTCTTGGTTGAAGCCCTCATCCTTCATCTGCGAATCGATTTGCGGCCCGGCGTTGGCCTCGCGATACTTCATACCGGAGGCATGTCTCTGCAGAGCCTCAAAGATGACCTCCTCAATGGTGCTCTCCTTCGAGTAGGCTCGCGGGTCGTCGGTCGGGAACCACGTGTCGTCATACGGCAAGAACCTTCTCTTGACCTTCTCATGAAGCAAGCTAGGGCCGTCCGGGGCGAAGTGGATATAGTCCTGGATCGTCTGCAGGAAGAACCAAACAGAGTCCCTGGAGTTGTATCGTGGGGCGTCGCCACTGCTGAGCAGGTTAGGAATCATGCCATGCTTCAGCACGCTGGCAAAGGCAAGGATGTGCTCCTTGGCCTCCGCGAACCGCCCAGTGCCCAAGTACAGGCCACGGATGGAAATAAAAACGTCGCGGCCCCAGCATCTTGCCCACTCGACTGCAAAATGTGGCAGGCCAGCCGCGACTGAAGCCACCGACTTGTTTGGCCACAGAGACGCCGACTTGACGAAGCCCGTCTGCTGGACGCTGACCATGGCGAGACTTTGTATGAACCACTGGCCGTCCTTGACATTGTCGCTCATGAGCTCCATGCCCCTCTGCCAGCTTGCCGTATACGCGGTACGCAGGACAAGCCCGAAATAGCGAGGCAAGAGGAAACTGGGAATGGTACGGAGGGCATCAAATCTCTCCTTGAGCCATGTCGCAGGCTTTGCAAGTTGCTCGTTACCGGGTGTCTTGCTCATGCGCTCGACTCGTCCCACGATGTAGTCCAAGACCCATGTCCCATCCCTCAGATTCTGGCAAAGAGGATGTGCGAGGTTGTTGTCGCGAATGATATCCTTGAGTATGCTCCACCAGCCTTGCAGGCCGGCGTACACGAGCTTGCCGTGTCCCGGGATATCATATGCACCGTCTTGACCGCCGCTCGAGTCTCGCTCTTCAGCTTCGCAACGGTACATCAGGAAGTTGAGGTCGACCAAGTCCAGTTCGCTCCAGGCCGTCCGGGCACCAGATGTGATGTAGGTGTCTAAGCCGGCCGAGTGCTCTGCGGCCGGTATCCAGGTCTCGAACAGCGCGATGCTTCCAGGGGGAAACTTGTCGCGGACGGTGATTATGGTGTCCTCGCCCTGCACTTCCATCTTGACCCCGGCCAAGTCGGAGACGCGGCTCGGCAAGCCACGAAGGAACTTCTTGTCGTCCAGAACCTGCTTCGTGGCTTCCTCGCTGGCATCAACTTCCAGCATCCAGCTGCCTAAATGCCTGGCTCGTGTGCCGGTGAGGTGGACTGCGTTGAACGCGCCATTACCATTTCCGTAGCCGGGGAAGGCCGTGTGGGCGATGAGGAAGTAGCCCTTCCTCGACTCTGGGTGTACTCTATGAACGGTGATGTACTCTTCCTCGTGGTGGATGTGTGTCTCGTCGTACCCGTCCTTGCCCATGAGCGTGTGGATTTGGTTCAGGAGCTTCTTCACTCCGCCGATGCCATTGTTGCCGCCGCCAACCTTGACTGTACCGGTGCTTGATGATTCGGAGGTGTAAGTTCGCTTCTCATTCACGAGATCGACCAGCCGAGGATATATCTCGTCGTAGCCCATAACGCTGCCAGTGGCGCTGGAGCACATGCAGACGAGCGCCGCGTTGGGCAGCGTGTCTCGTGCGTCGCGTTTCTGCGCCGGAGTCTCATTGTCATGAGTGCAGTCCATAAACAACGCATGTACCGGCGTCGGCTTTATCCTTCGAATGATCTCGCGGGTCAAATCCCCATTTGGCTCCTCTCTGAGAGGCGACGTAGGAGGCGATGTCCCGTCAGAGCGCGTGATCTCGTCGACCTCGAAGCTGCCGATGGGCCGGCCACCATGTCTGTGAACGAGCCGACTGAGCTCAGCCGTGCTCCAAGCCTGCATGGCCTCGCGAATCAGTGAGCTCAGACCTAGCCGCTTGACAAAGACATAGTCCATCTCTTCAGATCCGGTAAACAGCTCGGCAACGACGTACAAGTCCGGCCGAACTCGGCGTGCCTCGTCGAGGATGTGCTCAGCCACATGCAGCGGGGTCGAATGACAGTTGTCGATTCTGAAGCCGGCAAAGTATTTGGCCAGGAGGCGAGCGTATGCTGTCATGTGCTCCCAGAGCCACGGGCTGTCTTTAGGCCCCGAGCCATACCGCAGCTTGACGCAGTCACCCCAAACTATAACCTCACGTCTCAAGTACACCCGGGAGTCGGGCCCGGCGTTGTCAACCAGCGCATTGCCGCCCCAGACCCAGCCATTGTTGACCAGAGCCCGGTCCTGCGGTGCATGCTTTGAGGTGGTGGCGTTAGATGGAAGCCGTGTAAAGTACGATTCGATGAGGGGATTCGCGTCGTTGATGGGCCCAAGCTTCGGGCCATGTTCGTCAAGGCGCACGTACTTGATGCGATTGTACAGTTGCTCGAGGATCTCGGTGACGTCAGAGTCGTACTCCTTGTAAAAGTCGACGTTCAAGGCGTCCAAGATCTCGACCATTCTGCTTCGTGCGGCTGCCTTGTCTGGCGAATCCGGATTCTTTCCCTCGTAGCGCCCAAAGCCAAAAGAGAGCAGTGTGGCCGCGACGGAGGGATCGGTCTTTCGTCGGTGACGCGCGCCCAGGCGATCCATACCGGTCAAGCCGAAGTCCTTGATAAAATCGACTTCTGCGGCGAGATCACGTCGCTTCAGGCGATCTACCCTGTCTTGGAAGCCGTCGTGCTGCTTGACGTCGGAAGTCTTGCCTTGCGTCCATGCTTCCACGGCGGAGTCGGCGTCGCGCTCAACGTCGAGAGCATAATATTCCCAGAGGCGTATCTCAGCAATGACCTCCTTCTTGACGGCATCCATGATGCGCATGAGGTCGTCGGTGGATTGGGGGTTCGTGGGTAGCCCGAGGCTCTTGAGCTTGGTGCTCAATTCCAGCAGCTTGGTGTCCAGCTCATAGGCCGATTCCAGCCAAGGCGCGGTCGTCAGGTTGTATCCCGCTTCGGGATGCTCCTGCAGCCATTTTGTGTTATTGGCTGTGTGGTTGAGGACAATGTCTGTCAGACTGAGGAGGGAGTGATCCTGCTCCATGCTCTCCACCAGCTTCTTGACGTCGGCCTCGCCGTTGGGGAAGCACTCGGGGTCCCAAGCCAGCTGGTCGTACAAGCTGAATGGTGAGTTGGACTCGCCCCGGACCTGCAACGGCGTAAAGTGCACCATGTTGTAGCCCCTGGCGCTGATGCCGCGCAGGTGCTTTTCCCAGTCGGACGGGTATCTGCCCATGAGCTTGCCAATGATGGAGAAGACGGACAGCGCGGGCAAGGGCAACGGGCACCCGTCGAGCTGCAGCCTCGGCGCGACATCGATGTAGTATAAGGGGGTCTTCTTCAGGGTCGGTTCGTGCTGTTTCGTCGGCGCATCGGCGAGGTGCGGCTCGAGGGCGGGGAGCTCGGCGTAGGTCGTGTAGAAGGCGAATGCGCCGGCCGAGTGGATGGGGATGGAGATTTCAATGGTGCGGTTGAAGTCAGGGGCCAATCTGAGGGCACACGGTCAGTCAATGGTAGAGGAATTGGCGGCGTACGAGGATGGACCGACTTGTATTCGCGAAACTTGTCGCGGCGGAACTCGGCGCCCTTGTCGGGGATGTTGACCCAGAGGCTGCCATGACGACATATCGACGAGGTGCCCTCAATTGCGAAGCGGACGGTGACGGGGTCGCTGGACCGTGGCGCGAGGTAGATGTACTCGCCGGCCACCTGGGGCGAGCCGTCGTCGTTGAGCGGCAGCAGATAGACCTCGGTGGACGTCATGGTTCTCGGGCTCATGATGCGAGAGGGAAGAGAGGGGAGCAGCGAGAAGCTGCCCCGCGCCTCTACGTCAAGGTGCGTCCGGGTCTGAGCTTCTGGCGCTGCCTGGACGGAGCTCCAGTTGCTGATAGCGTTTTAGCGCACACACGCGCTGTAGCAGAAGCCAAGTTGGGGATTTTCTGGGCCTGATCAGCCGCTGGAGCTCCCAGAATAGTAGCGTCCTGGCCGGGGTGTTGGGCGAGTCAGAATCGCCGACGGTAGCGGATGCGGAAGGCAGCGCAAGAGACGGACAAGCAGGGCACGGCACGGCAGCACGACGACGACGTCGCAGCCAAGGCACGGCGATGATGATGGATGGCGTGACAGGTCAGGCACGGCGAGGAGAGGGAACAAGCCAGGAGAGCGGGCACGGCGGCAGCCACGGGAGCTTTTCTTCCACCCCTCGCGGGCGAGCTGAGGCGCTCCTCAGCCTCAACAATAAATACCGTACCTTTCCTGCCACGAAGGTGCTAGCAGACATTTTTCTCGTCTGGCCCATCACGCGGCGGGCGCATTGGGAGCGAATAGGAAGGCGATGGCCAGCCGTGGTGGCCGCATCTCGCTCGCGATCGCGATCGCACTCACCATCGCCCCGTCCCGCTCCTCCTCACCGCTCGCAACGTACGGGAGTAGCTTATTAGCTTACAAGCCGAACGAGCCAGGCGCCGGGTGCCTGGTCCGCGGTCTCTCTCATCAGCCTTTGTAATGGCAGGGCGGGGGCCAGAGCATGTAGCGTTTCGATGTGGCATGACCCGGCACGACCGGAGGGGAAGCTCCTCACCTCCTTCGCTGTTGAGCGCCGGGTGAGACGGACGGCGCCCGGCGATCTGCATGCCCATTTTGCGCCAATTGTTCATTTTTCCATATCTGATCTATTTACCCATTTCTCTCAATTCGCTCCTGAACAATGCCTCGCTGGCCATGACAAACGTTTTTGGGCTCATTACTCCATCACCCCACTATGCCCAGCTTAAAGAGTGAAAACGACTCGTGACGTCACTGACGCTTTTAATCTCGCACACGGCTGGGAACCGGGCAGTAATGACGAACAACTGGTTGATACGGTCGTAGCTTGGCCAAAGGCTACCTGTTTGCTCCCCCCTGTACGAGGTAGTACCGCCTCGTCAATGGATCGTGGACAGCTAAGGTGCGGGTGTCGTCCACCACGGTACCTGCATGGAATACTATTTTTGCCTGGCTGTTGGTGAGGATTCCCAGGTCCCAACCGTCGCTTGCTGGCGTGTTCGCTGCAAGGTACGATGCGGTGTAGCAGGCCACGTGAACCGTGACTGTCCCGGAGCTGGGCGCGTGTGTACCCTGTGACCGTTCAATCCGTCTCACCGATGCAGCGTCGCCATGTCGCGACACTTCGCTTGCGCGGACCGAGTCGCGCGAAGGTGCCTCAGGGCGTGAGTGAGCTCACGATGTTAACATCTTTGCCAAGTCCCTGCTGACCCCTGACCTGCATGCAGACAAGGCTGCGCCCGGTGTCGTGACATGAGGTCCGCTGCTCAGGCTCATAACAGTCCACGAGATGCGAGCCCAAGAGCCATTTCGTTCTCATGGCGACGGCCCACCGCCCCCGAGCGGCTTTGCGCGAAGCCCACTCGTAGCTAACACGGAGACCTTTGCGCTTGACCCCCACGGTAAATATTGTGAGCACCCGCGAGCCCAATGGCCCCAAGGCTGGGATGAGAGCTTATGGAGAATCATTCTTGTTTGTACCAGGGTACATGGGGCCAACATCGTCGTGGGCAATCTGTAGGCGCGTTCTGGCGATTGTCGGGAACCAAATGCCTACCCCGAACTCCCGGAGGCGCCTGTCGATCCCCGGGATCTCGAAACAGTAACTCTCACCTGAATCCAATTAGGGTAAACGAGCAGCCGGGCGTCGACGACCTACGCTCATACGCCTACGCCCTGCTTCTGGTCTCCACAGTCCAACACCACCGCGGATCATTGTGCGAAGTCATCGATCCGGCGTCCTTCCTGGAGCATTTAATAAGGTTTTACACAGATCCGCGAACAGTGGCCAACGAGCAGAGACTTTAGTATGCCTAGTTCCTCTCTGTGATTGCATTCGGTGAGGCATTGATATGCACTGGCTCTCCCAAGTCCGTTCCAGGCATCAAGTACGCCTCCCGCGCCATGTCTCTGATTCTCTGTGGTATACGTGTCGACAATAAGCCAATGGTGGCAGTTGAAGCCCTGTGTCTTGCGGCCTTGTACCTCTAGGCCGTGGACTTGCGCCTGATGGCCTTTCAAATGGTTTGCGTTCCGGTCGGGGCGGAGTCCCCAGCAGCTCGACTGCCGACTGTAGGGATGACCTTTTCCCCTGGGGCCTTCTTGGAGCGCACGGAGGATTCGGCATGTCGCCGACTGCGATACTCACCCTTGCTGAAGACCTTGAAGCGGACGACTTCATGGCCAGCAACTGAGCAGTCTGGCCTGGGCCTACAACGGCACTCACGTATGTAAGAGGCGTGTTCGGCGACATTGGAACTAATATGAAGGTGGTCCCCCGCCTCTGAGGGCGTTGGAACTTCAGAAATTCTCGGACTGCAGAACCCTGAAGGGGTCTTACTGTACTTTGTATCGTTCCCTGGGACCGGTCCATCCGCTACGCCTCAGCCAATCCTCGAAAGAACTAGCGGTAAGACCCAGCTCCACGCTGGATTGCTCCTCTCCTGGATTCAAGGCTCCGTAACAGATCTTATCCGACGGGGCGATAGCGGCCCATTGCATCATTTCGATGTCATCTTCCTTGAATGCTGGGCCAACAAGCGAGGAGCTCAGTTGACCAAACTCCTCGAACGAAATTGGAGAATGAACGGCTGGTCTTCCAGTAACGCGCGTAAAGGTTTCCACCATGCTTTCAGAGGTTGTCCTAGAGCTCAAAGCAAGATAAGTTTTGCCCTTAGTCTTCTCAACGCCCAAACCAAATATCTCTTCAAACAATTGGTCAGCCTTCAACGCTTGAACTGGATTTTCTAAATGTGATGAAAGACTCTTACTTGCGGCAAACGCCCCCATGTCCTGCACAGGATCAGTCCATTGAACGTGTTGACCGCTAGGTAGGGGCATGCAAAATTGAACCACGCCATCCTCTTGGCGAAAAGGTACATTAGTCTTTGCATGCCATTAGAAGTTTCATGAAGGAGACAAACCTCGAAGCCGGCAATATTGTGGCCAGAACAAGTTGGTGTAGAAAAAGCCTTGACGTGTCAACCGGGTCGTCAAACCAAAAATACTATACAGCAGCCCCGCTCCTGCGTACTCACCCGGAATTAGAGAGGTGAAACCATCAAGCTCCTTTCTTGCTAATTGCTCAATGGTGGCTTTGATGTTCATGTGGTATATCTTTTTGAACTGGCCGTCGCTTGCTTTGATGATATCGGGGAGGCTGCTGAACACCAAGTGTTTGACGTAGCGCTTCTTGGCGGCCATGATGATGTTGCGCCCTGCATCAAGCTCATGCTCCATTTCTCTCTCTTCAGTGATGACCTTCCCCGGGTGCCGCTCACTGGTCATGGCGAAGACACCGTATGCGCCCGCAAAGGCGTTTCGCAAGCTTTCTGCATCGTAAACTTGACCAGTAACCAAACTCAGACGATTGTCGCTAGTCTGACACTCTGATAAAAGCTTCTGTGCTTTGTCTGAACTGGGATCTTTGGTTAAAGCCCGGACAAGCCAAGGACTGCCGCCGAATTTGTCGCTCAGCAAGGCCCGAATAACACCAGAGCCCTGTGATCCTGTGGCGCCAACCACGACTATAACGTGATGTGGCTGAGTAGGTGGCATCTTCCTGAGACTCGAAAACGATGACACGAGGGGAACAGAACAGATGTGGTGTATTGGGCTGACCAGATTGGATGCAGTAATATATCGAGGAACCTGGGTCAAACTTGGTTTATCTCGCAAAATACAAGTCCCCTTGCAATGTTCAGATTGAAGGCTTTGCCGATTCGAATGCGGGGATTGCCTGCGAACTAAAGGTCTAAGCTGCCGGAGCGGCGAAAAGAAGTTGCCGTGCAGATCACCATGGTGTAGCACCGCATACAGTCAATGAAGAGGCAGCAGGACATGGTGAGCACTAAAACATTTGTGGACCCGAATGAGTCGTTCCCTTGATTATGAAGAAAGGCCTGATTTCTAATATGTCTCGCTCCTGCTTAGAAAGCGGGAAAAGATCGTGCAGCACCATGTTTTCGGGAGTAGCAGGCGTGCGCTGTATGGCGGAACTGAATTGCTTGCATGTTTACAAAGATGCCCCCGCCCCGAGATAGTCAAGGCCAATGCCTCATTCACTCGCCGGCATCGTTTCGTCGGTTATATGCCGTCAAGCTCTGCACAGTTCAATGTTCTTTGCTCGACATGGCCCCTTGTCTACAAGGCTTGCCTGTTCCGGTCCCAAACTTGATGCCTGCTCCATTGAATAGACCTAGCCAAGGCAATCATAGCTCGCATCATTTGATGTCATGGAACTCGTTTGTGTGCGGCCGTGTACGCCCTGGACAATCGGTGACATTGCGTCCCTACCCGTGCCACTCCGACGCATTTGCGTTGGGCCAAGCCCTTTGCACTACAGCAAAGGCAACACCTACCCCAGGCAGACAAATCGAGCCGAGATTGGATCATTTCTGAGCACAGAGCGTCAAATGGGAGCAGCCAGTTCTCGTCCTCACGCCGTCCGTCGCAATCCTCTAATAGTGGCGCTGATGCAGTCACGCCTCGCGCCCTGCTGAAAGGGCTCCAATTCACAGGAAACCACACCGCCATCATCGAATGGTTCCGACTCGGGACGTGATCCCAACAGAAGAGATACATGTAAGCAAACAGGTCGGTAGGTGGGGCCGACTCTTCGGTCTGGTTCGTGATGACGGCATTGCCCGACTCTCAGGCTTTGCTATATGGTGGGCTGCCACCCTAATGGTTTGGGCGGCTTCTTCCTGGGCGTGATGGAGGATGCCAGGCCCGGTGAACATTCGCTGGCCCTGTTCTGGAAGAATGTTGCCAAAGTGCTCAACTTAGCAAGTTGACATACGTCAAGCACTCAATTAACATAAATTGCTAGGCACAAAATAATATCAGAGTCCTGATTACAATACGCTCCTTCCGAAGCTGCCGCTACCGCAGCAGAAAGCCTGGAAAGAGCATCTCGTCAGGGTCGGTGAAGAACTTCATCCTTCCGACCAAGTTGGCCTGACCCTTGACACGCGGGACGCATGCAGGAAAGCCCTCAATGGGACTGATGGCCTCGGAGACAATGTCCGCCTCGAATCGCGACCCGATTATAGAACTATGCAAAAGCTTCGAGCATCCTGGCTGTATTCTTCCCTGCGCAAACAACATGGCTACTCTTGCACATGTCCCAGATCCACAAGGAGAACGATCCACCTGTCCATCTGCAAAGATTGTAACGTTCCTCTGAGAGATGCTATTCGGATTGTCTCGACAGTCGCTCTCCTCGTCGAAGAAAATAACACCATAGCAGTCGTAGGCGTCGTAGTGGGCTTTGGTGCCGAGCGAGGCCTTGATTTCTCTGCCGAGCTGGATAAAGCGGCTGGTGTTCTTGCGCTCGACAGTGAGCCCGACTTGAGCTGCGTCCAATACAGCGTAGACTGCGCCGCCGAAAGCCAAATCGAGGGTAATGTTGATTCCGTTTGAAGACAGCGCCACGGGAACCGACTTTGCCAGCTGAAAGCTAGTCACATTGATGAAGTCGGCATCGACTGGCTTTCCATGCGAGACGGCCACACGGGCAAGTACTCGCCCTGATGGGACATCGACGACTACGTCAACCGTTCCTTCACACTCCGGGACCTTGACGATATCGTGAGACACGGCCCAATATCCCAGAGCAATTGTCCCATGCCCGCAGGCTGTGGAGAACCCGTCTTTGTGCCAGAACAGAACTCCAAAGTGGGCACCCGAATCGTCGGGAGGTGTGATGAAACCGCCATACATGTCGGCGTGACCGCGAGGCTCGTGACATAACGACTTGCGCAGTTCGTCTAAGGGGTGGCCCGGCGTTGCTATGACATGGGACCGCCGCTGAGCGACACTGGGCAAGTCGGGGAGATGTCCTGTAGGAAGCTTGTCGACGATGCGGAAAGGTTCGCCAGCAGTATGCCAGTCTTCCGTCTCAATCCAGAACGCGGACTCAGCCATGTTTCCCATCATCGAAACAGGACTTGGTGTCGAGCACCTTAGATACAGCGATTGCTCGTCCGTGCAGCCAACGGATATTGCCGAGACGAGTATTTGTGATCGCGGGGTCCAGATGTCGGGGTTTCGAGACCCCGCATGGAGGGGTTAAGTATGAGTCTTCGAGTGCATGGACAGACTCCGGGCCTAAAGTCCTGCAAGCCGAGCCGATGTCGGGGACATTTTCTCTTGGCTCCCAAGTGTCTCTTCTTTTGTCGGGCCTGCCGACCCCGTTGTTGGTCTGACTTGGACATCTGGCCGTGAGGGACCTTCGACAGGCGACATGGAGTCTCGTTGGTCATGCCGATTCGGCTGTCGGCCCGATATAACCTTTCACAGACTCAAACTGGACATTGCGTGCCTGTTGGATCTCTGTTTCATTTTGAACAACGCTGATGTGATGGTCCACACGATTTCTTTGTGAGGTTGAGCACTAGGTGAGTCTGGGCTAACCTTCAATTAGATATGTTCTATGTGTCGAACTTGCATGCCACGTCATACCTCGCGAAAACTGTCGTGACCGCATCCGTCGGGCCTTTCGTTTGCGTTATTGCCGTCGTTCACAATCCCATCAGTGATGGCTTGGGACCCCGAGAAAGAGAGTGCCGGTTTCGATGTTGTGGGCATCAACACGGCAATCAATGACCAAACTTCACGTCGAAGCGAGCAGAACCCCAACGACAATGAAGACCTGCACCAAAAGCTCAACACACGTCACTTGACATTCATCAGTCTGGGTTCAGTCATAGGGTCTGGCATCTTCCTAGGCATTGGCTCTGCCCTCACCACCGCCGGGCCCGTGGGCCTTGCTTTGGCTTTTGCCTTCACTTGCTCCGTCGTGTATTGCGTCATGCTATGTACTGGAGAGATGGTCACCTATCTCCCGGTGGTTGCAGCCCATATGAGACTGTCGGGGGGCTTCGTCGACACGTCTCTGGCTGCGGCCATGTCCTGGAATTACTGGTACTGCTGGTCTCTCATATCGGCTGCCGAGCCCTTCCGCCGTCGCGGTGCTCATCACTTACTGGACTGAAGCGATTCCTTCTGGTGTCTGGATAGCGCTGAGCCTGCTTACTGCTCTCGGAGTAAACTCATGTGGCCCTAGGGTCTACGCTGAAGTCGAGTTTTATATGTCAACGATAAAGGTCTTGACGATTATTGGCCTCATCATTCTGTCCATTGTCCTTGACGCAGGCGGTGGCCCAGACCACACGTAAATTGGATTCAAGTACTGGAGGAACCCCGGCCCCTTTGTGCCATACAGTGGCATCGAAGGACTTTTTGGCCGGTTCCTGGCCTCCTTCTCCAGCTGCGTTTTCTTCAATAGGAGCGGAATTGTTGGCTTTGGTTGCTACAGAGACTCGAAACCCTCGAAAGCTTATTCCCACGGCTCTGAAGGCCACCTGGGTTCGTGTCGTTCTCTTCTACTTTTTGGCAGCCTTCTGCGTCAGCATCATCGTTCCGTCGAACGAGTCCTGCCTTGGCTTGTCTTCAACAGCCGCAGCGAGTCCATATGTCATTGCTATAGAAACGGCTGGCATCAAGGTGCTTCCGAGCCTCATCAATGCCTGCATCGTCCCGTCTGCACTATCGGCAGGTGTGTCAGACAGTTTTACGGCGTCGCGGACTCTGCATGCAATGGCGGGTAGCGGTACAGCTCCCAAGATATTGCAGACCACGAACAAATTGGGCTGCCCATGGATTGCCGTTCTGGCCACTTGGAGTTTGAGCCTGCTTGCCTTCCTCGCCATCGGGTGTAGCTCGGGGAAAGTTTTCAATTACCTAGTTAATCTTACCGCCTTAAGAGGCATCATCACATGGGATTGCATCGCCATCACCTATTTCCGGTTTTGGGCGGGGATGAAAGCGCTGGGGATCAGTCACTCATCCTTACCGTGGAGGAGCAGATTCAGTGTGTTTGGAACGTATTGGATCTTGATCGTCATCAGTACCGTACTGCTAGTCAGCGGCTGGCCGGTGTTCGCCAAAAACAATTGGAATACCGCCACATTCTTCAGCAACTATCTTCCCAGTAGTATATTCACCCTTGTTTACGTTGCATTAAAGATTGGTATCAGCAGCATGATTGTGAAGGCTTCGAATATGGACCTGACTACTGCCTTGCGAGAGATCGAGCAACGAGGTGTGAAGGCAAACGAGCAAGACGAGCTAGCTCGAACGCTATACAGTGGAGGCAAGGTAAAAGCATTCCTCAAGCACAGAGGATAGTGACTTAGAATTTCGTGGCATGTGGTTTCCTACAAACCAAAGCTGACGGAATGCATCGTGCCACTATTCAACTAGTAATACACACTCAATCGCACTTGCGCTGGAACGACTACGCTCTCGGTGCGGGTTGACGGCCGTGGCGCTGACCGCTTCGCTATGTCTGAGTGAGACTGAGAGAAGCTCTGTCGGAGCATGTGGCCCGGGGAAGAGCTCAGCGCCACGTGGCGCAAGCTTCAGCAGCTCCCCCAGTGATATTCCTGACGCGACTAGTATTCTTCCGTCTGAAGTCGAGACTTGCTCCCTACATGTACATCAATTCACTGGGCGACTTTGCGCCCAGTGCGTCCATCTCCAGATGGACACTCTACACGTACAACATATGTACTGGACACTTCCGGTGCATTAAGAATCCTTGACTCGCATGCCAGAACACCAGCGCGTGTGCTGCGTAGTGTGCAAGCGCTCCGCGCCGTATGTCTTGGCATGACGTGGTGGTCGAAGCCGGTATTCTCACCTCTGGGCCGCGAATATAGAAAAGGCTAAACAGCGTGGTAAATAAGCCTAATCTAGCAACTGTTTTGGGTTTACGCTTGATCTGTCTGGTGTGAGGCTATCGTTGCATGCTCGAGCAGCCACGGGGCGAGAACACCATGGCTCTCGAACCCGCCACCTCCGAACTGCTGAAATTCCCCGTTTCCATTTTCCAAACTGCTACGTCCATTTGTGGTAACTGACCTCGTTGCAACACTGCGGCTGACTGAAAGTCGTCAGCTGAAGGACGCTCTCTCCACTTCATTCCAGCCTTGGCCCCCAACTCCCTCCCGGCCTCGGGTCGTGAGCCACCACAGCGAAATCAAGATCATCTCATAAATGCAGCTCTAAGTGACCAAGTTTGCTTGGTGGATCTTCTGTTATCTCAGAGACAGTCATATTTACTGCCACTACTCAACCATTCGGCATCCAACGGCACTCGCCAGTCACAATGGCAACACCCCTTACGGTTAACGGAAACGTGCTCCTGACGGCTAGCGAGGCGCCGTCACCAGATGCCAGCGGCACAAAGTACATCTACATCTCGAGCACTGAAACCATCAGTAAGAGCCGGAAAGAGGACCTGGCTGCCAAGGGCGTAACAATCACCGAGTATCTTGGAAACAACACATATCTCTGCCGTTATGTACCCTCCGACCTCGAACCCATCAGACAGCTAGGTGTCCAGGCCAGTGTTTACCCACGCCACGTGAAGACCACTACGGCTCTTAAAGAAGCCGTCCAAGCCGGCGAACAGGGTGACTCGACTCCGCGGAAGTACAAAGTCGACGTCGTGCTTCACAAAGGAGAGAACAACGTAAACGACGTCGTCACGCAAATCACAACAAAGACTGGCCTCACCCCAGACGATATCGACGTGAAACACAACATAATCAGGCTCGATGTTGATGCCGACACAATTTCCAAACTGGAAGAAGTTGATGCAGTTAAGACAATCGAGAAGGTGGTCCCCAAAAAGTTTTTCAACAACACCGCCCGCAACGACATGGGATTCGGTGCAGTAGAACCCCCACACACTACCTACACTGGAAAAGACCAAATCGTGGTCATTGCGGACACGGGTTTTGATGAGGGCCGGAAGGAAGACTGCCATCCAGCATTTACAAACCGCGTGGTCGACCTTGTTTCCGTGGGGCGGAAGAGGAGCGGAAAAACGAACGACTATGACGGTCATGGAACACATGTAGCGGGCTCCGTCCTAGGTAGCCACACCTCTGCGAAGATGGGCGGAGCGATCAAGGGGACTGCCCCTGAGGCATTGATGGTCATGCAGTCTCTCCTTGACACGCGCGGCGGCCTGGACGTTGGCGCTAATTTGTGGGACCTCTTCCAGCCGCCTTATGGAAAAGAATATGACGAACCCTTCAACCAGCACAAGGCCCGTATTGCCACCAACTCTTGGGGCCCGGGATGGATCGGACAGCAAATTGGGTATGACTCGGACGCAAATGCGCTGGACGCCTTTGTCTGGAAGAACCAAGATCGTAAGTCGAGGCCGTTTAACTACGAGACTCCGAAATTGAAGGCTGACGAGTAGCAAAGATGTTATCTTGTTTGCCGCCGGCAACGATGGAATGGAACTGTCGGCAACCAATGCCCACATTGGAAGCACCAGCGGCGCCGCAAACTGCATAAGTGTCGGTGCCACGTACTCTAGCAGGACTGCCAAGGGCTTCAAGTACGACCCAGATGGACGCCCTGGAAAGCCGGATAAGGTGGCTGAGTTCAGCTCACGAGGCCCGACAACCGATGGTCTTATCAAACCCGACGTTGTCGCCCCTGGGGTTCCAATACTCAGTGCCTGCTCACGGGACCCGGCCATCACGGAGGCAGCCCGTCAGCGAGGTGGCCCTACAGAGGATGAATTATGGATGTTTCTCGCCGGCACAAGCATGGCCACTCCGCTGGTGGCGGGATGCTGTGCCGTGTTGCGTGAAGCGCTGTGGGCGGTCGGCGTATCGACGTCAAGCGCCGCCTTGATCAAGGCCCTGTTGGTGAACGGGGCGGACGACCTTGGTCTCCCTCGATCCCATCAAGGATTTGGCCGCGTCAACATCAAGAACTCGCTTCTGAGCGTCGAAGGACGACGCAGTGGTAGCGGTGATTTTGTTGACGTTGGTTTTCCCTCGGGTTCTACAATTGAAGAGGGAAGTGACTGGTCGCATACAATTCCAGCAGAGACTCTCTCTCGACCTGGAACTCTAAAAGTCACGCTGGCATATCCTGACCGTCAGGGTGCAAATCTTCAGAACAATCTGACGCTAGAGGTCACGATCAAGCCACAGTCAGGGGAGGCGACAACAAAACGGGGGGACGAAGGGTTCGAAGCTGAGAACAACGTCGAGAAGGTATCGTGGGGGCTGTCAGGCCAAGAGCAAAGCGCTACTATAACGGTAAAGGCTGAGAGAATCGCAAGACTGGAATCACAGGCTTTTGCAGTTGTCTGGGCGGTCGTTTAGTTGAATGATGCGCTGTCGGTGGTGGTTCATACGGTGACTGCTGAGGGCACTAGATCAAATTGTTAAAAAATGAGCAGCGAAAAGGAGGCGGAACCTAGGCCCTTGGACCCGTACAGAAAATTCGATCGTTCTCTTGTTCTCGTTTGTTGACTTGCCATGAGATTTTGCTCTGAGCATCCACTTCAATTTGAAACGAGATGTGCTATTTGGACACCACCTTTTGAAACGCCTGTTGTGAAGCATATCAAGCCAGGGGGACTTGAGTCACTTGACAGAGGCGCGGGCTCTGCGACCCGTATCCTGTCAGCGTCACTGGCAGCGCGCTATGCCCTGGAGCTTTATAGCGCGCTGGCCGCTAAAATGCCCGCTGTATTGCTTGGCCTAGCGATTGGTAGGCAGTAAATCCAGCAGGCAGTCAATCTATCCGACAGTTAATGATCAAGCAGTCAATAAAGTAAGCAGTCAACCCATCAGCCAATATCGGCTAGTCGGGCAGGTTGTCCAGCGGTTGCTTTCAGTGCCTAGCCCGCTGTGAGCGCTTCAGTTTTAGTGGCAGCCAGCCATACTTACATCTAAGGGACGCGGGGACTCGCGCCCGGATTAAGGCACAGGGGCTCGCGCTCCCACCACATCCCGCAAAGCAAGCTGCTCGGAACTTCGGAAGTGAAGGGCGGGGTAGTGGCAGGAGCGGTCGCCCACAGCCGCTCGACTGTTTAGTCGGCTCTCGGCGGCGCTGAGCCTTTGGGGTTTCTAGAGCCGAAAGGAGACGGCCGAGCCCAGAATCCACGAGACCAGCTCAGACGCCACACGGGAGGGTTATTCCTTGACACTGCGAGTGTTCGATGTGCTCAAACGTTAAGCTGCTTCCCGTGGTGTGGCGCTTTAATCTTGTATTGCGGGGTAGGAGTGTGCCGCATACAGAACGAGCGACAATCCCTAACAGGCGTTTTGGGCAGCCAAAACCTTCACACCATTGAGCTAGGACAAATCCCTCCGAGTGGACTTGCCACGGCTGCGATCGCAACTCTACGCATACGTATCGACCGCCAGCCTGTTGCATTCGTGAGAGCAGCTTCCCCATGAACAGGGATACAGCAGCAGCCGTGTACGTCACTCAAGGTCTATTTGTCCAGTGTGTGCGGCTGATACAACGTGGCCAGCTGAAAGCTCGAGACGATATCACGGTTCAAGAGACGGCCGCCCGTTATGTTGTTGCTGGTGACGCATGGACCGAAACTCCAGGGAGAATGCCATCCACTACCATAAATGTGGGCAAGGGATGATTGTGCTCCAAGCGAGGACGTACTCTGGTAAGTCTGCTTTGGTATACAGTGCTTCAGAAGGCTCTTCAGGCCAGCTCGCCTCCACAGTTGCCATGCAACTGACACGCCACAGCGAAAACATGGGGAATGAGTTTCTCCGCAGCCATGAGATTTGAGCAGCATCACGTGTCCACCAACTAGCATCCATTCAAGTCTCGCCAATGCGGCAGAGCGACCCTGCGTGAACTCTATACCTTAGGCATATGGTCTAAGCCAAGGTCTTCCTCTCAGGCTAAACTTATATCCCACACCTACATCTCTCAGCTGCGTTAACTCACATTCCTTCACATTCTTAGAGCGTTCTAGAACAAGGTACCTCAGGCAATTCTCCTCATGAGACGCGGCAGCTCTGCCAGACACCGCGTAGAGATTTATCTGAATGACGACCAGTTTGACGCTATGTATGCCTCTTTAGTGCCGTTGCAGGAAGCAGTGGCGCTTACCATGACGGCACTTGAGTAGATAGAACGCCTGACTCTATCTCTGGGCCGTGTCAAGATCATTCCGTGCATCGAGCGTTTCATCAATATTCCCGATACACAGTGCGTGTAAAAGCCCAACAGACTGCAGGAAGATTATAAGTACAACGTGGCTCAAAATCTTGAACGACGTAATTTGCGCAGAGTTGTACAACAAACACATTCGACCAATTTTTAACTAGAAGAAGCATCACGCACAATGGCTGAGACCTTGTCCCGAGATACCGCTCAGCCGAGCTCCCACGAAGCCTCTCACGGCCCCTGGGTACCAACCTGGCAAACCGACCAACGCTACAATGTGGGCGATTGCTGCGAGTTTTGGGACTCGATCTATAAATGCATTCAAGCGCACAAGTCTCAGTCTGACTGGGAGCCTCCGCTTGTCCCAGCACTCTGGACAAGAACTGGTCCGACGCGCCCAGGGCTTCCCGAAGCCAAACGCTGGAGGTCTGATCAGGCCTATGGAATGGGCGACCGAGTCTACTACCATTGGAAGCTTTATGAATGCATCCAGCCCCACAAGTCGCAGCCGGACTGGGTGCCCAATCGATATCCAGCGCTTTGGAAGCTCATCCGGTAGATGTTTCCCACGATCTGTCACTTACACACTCACGGAACCGGATTGACGAAACCACATCCAAGTATAACTAGTGAGGCAGTATCATGGTTGGTCAGTAGGATAATGCAATCAATCCGGGGCATCTGGACTCCAGGTCTTGCTCAAGTCTCACGGGAAATGATCAATGAGCTTGGGGAGTTTTCTCCCGCAGCCTGTAATTACTGCGATATGAGGGAACGCAAGGTGCCGCAATCAATCACTCTCTTGAACTAATGACGCGAGAAAACCGAAATGCGTAGTTCTAGGGCCTGTGTTAGGACCGACGAGGTCAATAGTACACGGTCGACCCCATGCGCCTGCAAGCGTAGACATCATTGCGTCTGTGACTGTCTCACAATTATCGACTCCCTGCATGTGGGGTCGATGTCTATCACCGTGAAATCCCTCCCAACATGTACTCAAAAGGCGAAACGTTGTTCTCTCCACAGGCATCTAGCCCCAACAAATGCAGGGCAAGCCACTCCTGAGTCCTGAGGCCCGGAGGGTAAGATCCGAAGAGCAGCGCGTGGGTCATGCCGTGGCATCGGAGCATGTACAGCGGGGTCTGACAGGGGTGTGGAAACGCTATTTCAACGACTCGTCTCGACTCTCAGGAGCAAAGGTCGTGTGACACACGGCTTGCGCCACACATTCCAGTCGAAAAGAACGTCCGAGGTCCTTTTGTCTAGATATTAACGCCATCCGAGTAGTGTGGTCTCATGCCATCATCGTGTGGTTTTCATTCGTCGAACCGGGTGCCTTGTATGGCAATGATGCCCAGCTCCGCCAGTTGTGCGGTGTAGTGGTTTATTCTTGCGAACTGGCACATACTAGATGTTGACGCACTGCCGTGTCCTCTACGCCACACTCCGAGGTGACGGTCAAAGAGCACTTGAGATTACCCACTGCAATGGGCACAATGTTCGGCGAGGCATACGCCCAGCCTCACTGTCGAACATGACACGGAACCCCCTGTTTCTTGGTACCAACCCGTCTCGGCTCGAAGGCTGTAACACAAGGATTGTTTTATTCACTGACCGGCAATTGATCCTACTTAGTTTGGCGCACAACGTGTACCCAACCGCCTCTGGGCAGGATAAATCACGAAGAGCCAACTGTGCCTACCCGACATCATACGTAGGTTGCAGTGTGTCGTTGGGCCGCCTGCTTACGTCCATTCAGCCATTACTACTGCAAGTAGGCTAGATCTAGCTTCAAAAAAGTCAGCCCGCCAAATCTGTGGCCGAGAACCATCTTGTCGCCGGATACGCCAACACTTGTGGGCCTGTAATCTGCAGGAAGCAAAAGAAGATTTCTTCCGTTCAGGGTTATCCAGTTATCGTGGAGCGACAGAGCAGAATTAGTATAGTTGATGTCCGGAATTCCCTGGGATGCCTTCTCTTGCTCCCCAGTCGCTATATCCCAGCTTCGGAGTACTTCATTATATGAAGTTAGCCAAATTGTCTTGCATTCGGATGAGAAAGCAATCGACTTGACTTCGCCGTTTTGCCCCTCGAACGTCTGCTGGGGCATCCCCGTGGCCACATCCCAGAGCCGAATGGTGCAGTCGCCTGACGCTGATGCTAGCAACCTGCCATTGGGAGAGAAAGCGATGGCTTTGACCTCACCACTATGGCCTTTAAGGACTTGTTGCAACGAACCTATGGCTGGATCCCAGAGGCGGATAGAACAGTCGCCTGATCCGGAGGCTATTGTATTACTGACGGGTGAGAAAGCGACCGCATGAACCAAGCCGTCATGCCCTACCAACGTTCGCTGGTGCTCTCCCGTAGCAGCTTCCCATAGTTGGACGGTGTCTCCTGATGCCGAGGCGACCTGTTTCCCATCAAGCGAAAAAGTGACAGCTCTGACCTGATTGCTTTGAGTTTCATGCGTCCACTGGCTAAATCCTGTGCCACATTGCGAGTCTCGTCTTCCCTGGTTCGTTTCCGTGGTTACATCCCAAAGCCGAATGGTGCAATCACCGGAGGCGGAGGCGACCATCTTCCCATCAGGCGAGAAGGCAACAGCTTTGACCGAATGATAGCCATGGAGTGTTTGGCATAATCTCCCCCGATTTGGGTCCCAGAGGCGAACCGTGCAGTCGTATGAAGCTGAGGCGAGCACTTTGCCATCAGGAGAGAATGCAACACCGTTGACCCAGCTATCGTGCCCGTTGAGTGTCCGTTGACACACCCCTGTTACGACATCCCATATCCAAACGGTATTATCACCAGAAGCTGAAGCGACAATCTGGCCGTCAGGCGAGAATGAAACTGCGTTGACCGATCGGCTATGGCCTTCAAGCGTTAACCGACACAGTCCCGTATTCGCATCCCAAAGCCTA